ACAAGTCGCTCGAGGCGATTATCGGGGGTGAGGCTAGACATCACCCCGTGCATTTGAAGTGAAAGAGGTATCTCAAGGAACGTCAAGGCCGAGAACTGGGGAAGCCTGAGTTCTGAGGCGAGGTCTATGAGAGTTGGTACATGAGTGAGAGTGCACAGAGACATTACCTTCGTTACGAGTAATCTGCAAACGTCTTATGCTGGAGCGTGCGGAAGCCAGAACCGGGAGCAGGGTGGAGTCGGCTGTGGCATCCGTCTCAACCTCAACAGGTGTGTGAAGTCGAAGGGACACGAAGGGGAAGTGAGCCAGCCTATGAGCCCGTCCGAATGAATCAGCCTCAGCTTTTTTTATCTGCGCGCGTAGTTCTCGGGGATAAGCCGGGCATCCGGCGGAAGGGGCAAAGGTTAGCTGGACAATTCTGAATGCGAGGGAATCCAAATTTCGAATGCGGGACTCTAATAGTGACGTGAGGAGATCCCAGGGCTGCTCCCCCCCCGTTTGAACAGGTTGAAGATTTCGACCTCGCGGATCAATGGGAGTCCGATGCATTTCCTCGTCAGCTGGAATACGTCGTCATCCGGCCCCTCAAGATCCTGGAAGTTGAAACTAATCTTCTGAAGGAGCGGGAACCCGATGTCCAGCACCACTTGTAGTATTTCGGACCGCCCGATGACACTGAGAGAACGAATGTGTCGCAGGAGGTGCGGTGAAGCGGTAAGGGTGCAGAGAGCCGGTGCATAGACGTGGAGGCAGCGGCAAGCGCTCAGTCCGAACTCTGCTTGTACAATACACCGGAAACTGCCCTTGAATCGAGGTGGACGTGGCGAAAGAGCTGAGACTGAACGGAGACGCAGAGTGTCTGGCAGACGAGAGATGGATTTCAGGGCAGGCCGAGAAGATTTATGGAGAGAGAGATGATAGGCAATATGGTCACAGAGTTCTTGGAGGCCGATGACTGTCTCCGTAGATTCGACCATTCAGTGAGTGACGTATCCGTAGAGATGAGATAAGATAAGATAAGATAAGAATCACCAATACAACCGCATCGCCTGGTAGATTACCCCATATCACTGACAAACTAATTATACATGAACTTCCAAAGCGGATAGCTGATTGCTGGGATCCGGGCACTCAACTACATTTTACCAATCTCTCCGTTTTCACCACTGAAGCGTGTTGCCAAATATTCCTGTGCAACCATGACCGCATCGTGGCCCGCTATGAACACCTGCATTTTCGGTGCTAGTAGTCCGCCATCACCGTACGTCAGCGGGGTGAGATTGCGGGTGGAATAATGAGATGGACACCTGCCATACAAGCCACGCTTCGCCGGGACCATAACCTGCTCCACAGACTCGGTGAGCACCCACTCGCCACGCTCTTTGCGGAGCGTTTGATACGCCTCGAGCCGCCGCGGGACCTCGTCCTTCGGCGTACCGCGGGGAAGAATGCACCCAATCTTCACCGCGTCTTCAATGGCCATACCTGCACCCTGGCAGGGAGTGGGAAATGTCGCGTGCGCCGCGTCCGCGATGAGCGTGGCGCAGCCCCGGATCCACGTCGGCAGGCGCGGCAGCGCGCGGAGCTGCCACAGATGTCTACCAGAGCCAATTCCGTAAATTGCGTGCCGAAGTCCTCGAATGCGCTAAGGAGCCCTGCCTTGGTGGCCGCCGCGTTCCAATCTGGCGTGTCATTAGCTCACGAAATTCCGCGCCGGACCGTGCGTCAAAATGAGAAACACTTGCTAAACTTGTCCTGGTCGCGGCCGTCGGGAATATGAGCGACGATGTTGACCAGAGTCTTGTCCCTGCACGGATAGAGGAGTAAGTATCGCCCGCTCGCATCGTTTGGTCTCCTGTGGGGCCTGCTGGCCCGGAATTCAGCCAGTCAAACTCGGCGCGTCCCCCCAATCTCGAGGCAGCTCGCCCGCCCGCTGGCGCAATTTGCTCGTAGCCAAGAACGCTGGTGCGGATCGCCGACTACGACACGTCGGTGTGAGAGTTAATTGCATAAAGAGGTCGAAGAGTACGTGCATTGCCCCAATAATCAAATCCGCGTGGTGAGCTTCGCCGCTCTTGAGCGTGAGCGCTCCAAACTCAAGATCGCAGGACAACGCGTCGCACTTCAGATGTATAATCGCGGGGCTCCCGGGACCAGCCTTCGTCGTCGCAAGGCGCTTGATCTCGTCGTGGAGCTCCGACCGACGGCACAGGATCGCGTACGGCGATGCTCTGAGCTCTGTCAATCCGCGCGACAAAGGAATCACCCACCCGACCAAAAGCATCGCGAGGATCATGCAGCGCGTCAAATCTGCCTTCCCCGCCCTGTGAATCAAACCACGTTTTCCAAACAACGTGCATCGTTCAGGCTGCGAGGACACATATATCAAGCACGCATAACGTACCCCGAAGATGGTCGCCCGCGCGAAGATTCTCGACGTTGAAGCCGAGATGGGTGAGAACGCGCAGCGAGGTCGCAGACAGGCTTAGGGCACTGGCGGCACCGATCTCCTTGTTCATGGATGACGATTCGAAGATCTACGGCCTCAATAACAAAAAAGCATTGGACTCGGAGAACATACCTGAATTTCATGACCCTCCATCCGTAACGGCAAGGCCCGCGAGACCCGTGCCGACGACCGCGACCCTCAGCGGTGTGTCGGGCGATTCGATGGAATGATGGAAGACAAAAGGATCGTAGGGTGCCGTGATTGTCCGATGCTCATGCCGCAAGGCGGGTATAGTGACCAGATATGCTCATCGGACCAGAGGAAAAGAGAACAAAATCTAAATTGAACGAAAAAAAAGTTACAGTGCTAATTCAACAAGTCTCCCGACGTGGGAATCATATACAAACTATGCGGGAGCCCGGTAAGAAGAAAAGTGAGCGCAACAGTCATCGCGTCGGCGATGAACTGGAGGAACCTGGCCGTCGAAGTAATATGCGGAGGTCTTGCCCGAGAGCGAGAGGCGTCTATGTATGCGGCCAGTATGTGATCTGTACAACGGTCCCACGGATATTCCTGAGCGGTCGCGACGGCGAGCGCTCCCATATTCGCGTGAGGAGTGGGATCCAAGATGAGCTGCTCCAACAACGCGGCATAACGTATCGAGAGCGTTTTAAAGGCGACGGCCCGGGAAGATGGGTGCAGCAGCTCCGCGCAGCTCTCGTAGCATGCGACTCGCGACCCAGCCCCCAGAAGTTGGCCCGGCGTCCACGAGTCCTTGGATTTGATTGTGGCGTGCGCGTCGAGGAGGAGACCGTTCCGCAGGTGGGTTACAAGATCGGCGCATTGATGGCTGTGATGGCCCCACCCGAAAATCTCGCGTGTGAATCTGGCTGTCAATCCACCTCTTCTCCGCCCACCTACCCATCATCTCCACCGCCCGCCCAAAGCCAAAGGGTCCGCTCGAGTCCGTTTCCTTTCCTTCTTTCCTTAGATTGGAGTAGAAGGTTAGCGGATAGTAGTGACCCGGCGCGCCGCGCGCCACATCGGCGCCGCGCTCGCCCCGCCATCACCAACCATCACCTACCCCGCCGGCGCTCGTCCCCGCCACCACACCTCACACGGCTCGATGGCCAGCGTCAAAGGCGGCGGAGGGGAGCCGAAGCCCTCGCTGGCGACAGGCATCAAGGCGGAGGACGTGTCCCCCTGGCTGCGCTGGGCCGTGGGGAGGCGCTCGCCCTCATGGCCCCGCCGGTGCTGGCGCTCCCCACCGCCCTCGTCCTTCCCTTCTTCCCAGAAGCAGTGCGCCCCTCGACTAACCTATGGACGCTGTTCTTCTTCAGCGCGTTGTGCTGAGCCCTGTGGCGTTCCACGCCCTCACAAGACGGTGGAGGCGTCGGAATGAGCCGACGCTCGTGAGGTGCGGCGTGTTCGGCGTGGTGCGTACCTTTTCACTCTTCTTCTTTCGTCCTGCCTCTCTTTACACGCTGCGTTTCGGCGATGCGCGTGTGGCGCGTGAGTCGCTTTCCTCCGGCTGAACTTCGCATGCCTGTCCTCGCGCGCGCACCTCGGTTTCGTGCCATCGGAGTTGTCTCAGTGCGGGAGCGCTGTCCTCCCTGCGCGCTCCTGAGCTTTTGTACGCGCGCGCGCGCGGCAGTCCCGCTTCTTGGGAGGTACACTACGTCCCGCCGCTGCACGCGCCACGTGCCTTCTCTGCTGTGCGGCGAGCGCGCTGTCCCCGTGTCCGCGCACATCGCAGGCCATCGCCACGCCCCCGACCGCCTCACCCCGCACGTGGCCACGCTGATTACGCATGCGCACGAGTTGTACATGCTGTGCCGTGCGGGGTGCGGGGTACGTGTGTACTTGTGCTTGTATTGCGTACTCGTTCCAGCGCTGCTTGCGCTCTCGCGCGCTCCACGTTTTTCTGTCCCGGGCAGCAGCGCTTTATAGACTGCGTCGGCCCTTATTCCTCCATTTATTTCTTCGTAGCTCAACTCCTCCTTCGGAGTCCTTAGTCCTTCCTGTATCTCATAACTTGTCTTGCGGTCCTTTCTACCGTCATAATGCACAAATTCCGTCTTCCCTCTGTCTCTCGCGCGCGCATGCATTGTGACTGGGGTTAACTTTGGCCCAATCAACAACTCCGTGTGCCAATTCTTAGACAGTCAACAATCCACGTGCGAGCTCTTAGCCTCTCTCCCGGCGAGATGCCAGCTGGTGATTAAAGCCCTGTCAGTGAGCAGAAGATTGAAAAAACTCGTGTCGCATACCGTATGGCTCGAGCCCGAGTCGAACGGGCGTATCCCTATGTGAGATATATCTGGAGGTGAGTATGAGATGCAGGGGCGGACCGTCCGCCATCGAGCCGATATAATGCTCACCTGCGGCCTGAATACGGACACGAATTTTTAAGCGGGTGTAATTTATCGTCGAGATTAGTCTTCGACTCCACTGGGAGACAAGAAAAGAGGTTTCTTGATCGCAAGGGGAGATAAGTTTTGGATGTACGCCGTTCTGGGGCACGGTACAAAGAAAAATTCGCTATCACACATGGCTCGAGCCCGAGTCGAACGGACTCAACCTGCAGTAACATTTTCAAAAGACCCACTGGAGGCAAGCGCGGACCGTCCGCCATCGAGCCGTTCTTAGTGTGCAATTCATTGGTGTGTTTTAATTTCAGCGAGAATGGTCTTCGGCTCTGCTCGGCAGTAGCAGATTGACTAGGGCAAAGGTTTCCTGACCTGCAAGAACATTAGGACAGGTGCGGACCATCCGCCACCGAGCCGATACCAGCTCTCTTGGGGACCCTGGATACATGTGCCCCTTGTTTCGCAATTTGGGCTGAGGCTGGCAGCCTTAGAAAATCCAGCAACAGCAGCCTGTACGCAAACGAAATTAGAAAGAAGATCGTCGCGCAGATTCGGGAAGAGGCGGGCCAGGAATATTCATGAAAAAAGGAACCACCGTCTTGGTGATGACTCGAGCCCGAGTCGAAAGGGCGTAGCCCTTGCGATTCTGGCGGAAACCATGAAAAAAACTGGGCCGCACTCTAAGTTCCGCAAAGAGCTGTAATGACTCTTCACGTTAGACATATCCAAGATTGGCAAATTGAAGTGCTGCCCATTCACACTACTTAATGTCGAGTCAATCTGGCGCTCAATTGAAACCGTTAATGGACGCATCAGAATCGATGCGCATCACACTTTGCCATCACTCCGGGATGATGCGGCGTATTTCTTTGTAGCGACTCTGACCCAAACTTCCAAGTTGACATGGCAGCTTTGATCCCAGTTCAAACGCAATCCGTACATGAGACTATATATGCAAAGGCTTTACAAGTTCTCCTTCGACGGCTCGGGGTCGGCAATCGCAAAGGCGCGCGCCGCGAGGTCCTCCTTGGTCGGCTCCTCCTCTACCATCGCAAAAGCCCGCCGTTCAAGGTCCTTTACGGAAGGCTCGGGGTCGATGATCGCGAAGCCGCGCGCCGCAAGGTCCTCCTTGGTCGGCTCCTCCTCCACCATCGCAAACGCCCGCCGTTCAAGGTCCTTTACGGAAGGCTCGGGGTCGATGATCGCGAAGCCGCGCACCGCGAGGTCCTCCTTGGTCGGCTCCTCCTCCACCATCGCAAAAGCCCGCCGTTCAAGGTCCTTTACGGAAGGCTCGGGGTCGATGATCGCGAAGCCGCGCGCCACGAGGTCTTCCTTGGAAGGCTCGAGGTCGGACCTCGCAAAGGAGCGCACTTCAAGCTCTCTCGCTGCGAAACGACTCCCGTGTCAGCGTACGAATGCCTACGACAAAAGCACACTTACGCAGAGCGTGGACGGTCCCCACATGATATATCGGCGCGCGTGCCTCGGAAGGCCCTATTGACACAAAGAAACTCAGACGCCGTGCGTAAGATGCCAATGAACACTAGGACATACCAGTCGGGAAAGCGTTCGTGGAAGCGAGAAGGGTCACAGCGAACAGCACAGATGTGATTCGCACCATCTTGGCTTTGGGTAAAGAAAAGCGCAGTTGCCAATGCCGTCTGTCCGCATGCACTATATATACTGCCCCCGGCCCCATCAGGATCTTGGCTGCATTGCTATCGAATCTCGCGGAGAACTCCGCGTATCACACACCAAGAAAAAGAAGATCGGGCCACAGCAAGCTCAATGAATCTGATGATCCCAGGGCTATCGAGGGTTGTAGTGTCTATCTGTCACGAAACGACGCCTAGTACCCACGACGTTACGAAGTCGCGTAAGAATCAGATTCGTCCGTTCGTCCGAGTCAGAGGGAGGGTGCACAGGTGCACGCGACCAGCCTCCAATTACCCAATGCGTCTGATAGGACGCGGAGCTCGGATCTAGATCCCATGGCAAAATGGAGGTAACCCAAAGGTAACCTTAACATTCCTCCTCGCCTATTGAACGCACTATAAGCCCGTGCTAATCTCCTCGCCAGCCCGTCATCATCATGGCCGCGCCTACCACCTTGCTTTACACTGTCGGCCTCCTGCTCTTCCTCAGCGCTGCGCTGAATGTGACCACTGTATACCGCCTCCACGGCCTCTCTAGCGCATACGGTGCGAAATGCGTCTTTCCTGCCCGACAACCGCGGCTGATACACCCGCAGCGTCTTTCAGCGCGCAGCACTTGCCGTCCGAGCTCCCACTGTCAGTGGACACAGCGGCGCTCGAGTTCGTGTTCGGGCAGCACTACAACATCGAAAACGACACGGACTGGGCGACGCTCGTGCCGCCGCACCACGGGCGCGTGAAGCTCCGGGAACAGGAGTTCGACATCGGGCTGTACACAGATATGGAGTGCCTTGATACGATCCGCGCCGCGTACGTCGCCATGCGCGGCGGCGCGCAGCTGCGCTCGGAGGCAGCGGAGGCGTGCCTCGGGCAGATCCGGCAGGCGATCTTGTGCACGGCGGACCCGACCCTCGAGCGCACGACGATTGTGTGCAAGGATGGCGTGTGCCCGCTCGACGGAGCAGTCGCGACGGGGAACCACGTGGACCACAAGTGCCGTGATTGGACGCAGGTGCGCGCGTTTGTCGAGGACAATCAGGCGGCGTGGGCTGGGAATATGCAGACGTGATAATGATAATTGAATCTACATTATTAGCAGGCTTCGATCATCATCGTGCTTGTACTATCTTGCACCAATAATCACCACGCTGGGCCCAGGCCTTGTTCTGGAGTTGCGATGTGGTTCAATCCGCTGAGAGCGTATCTCGTTGACAGATGCTACAACCAAGAAGCTCGTACATAGCAAACTGCCGCATACTCGAAGCGCAAATGGATCGAGAACAATTGTATTGTGCATCACACACTTCACCTGCTAGATTTGGGTTGAGTACAGTAGGAGACACATAGCTGCAAACAGGAGACACTTTCGGTGATAAAAAATCTAACGAACGGGCTTCTATGATCATGTTGCTGTTGCGGGCGTCGGTCATCCCACTGAACCTTGCTTTCGAATTGGAAATTCAATTGCTGGGCGCATATATGTACCGGATCCAAAGCGCAAAATCAATCAAGAAGAACACCTTCATGCAACGCACTTTTAGATTTGACTGGAGCGAATATCTGCAGATACGCATGGTATGACAGCCGTCGTGTCTAGGTGAAAGGTCGTGGCTGAGGTACCGCATCATCTCCACGCTCGTTTTTTGGCAGGCAATCAGAAGGCGTGGGTTGCTGTGGGAGATGCATAGCTGGGATGTAGTTGGAAATGGATGCACTCAAAAACGCATTTGCGATGGCAGTTTTCGCTGATGATCTATCTTGCTGGTCTTCATCATTGCGTGCGCTCAACCATGTTCGCAAGTTGCTCAAATCACTCAGTGCATATCCAACGAATACATTCGGTACAATTCTTTCTATGCAACACAGTGTAGATGCATGCAGCTATGCGCGATGGGTTGCGGCCTACATTCATTCGGCCGGCTTGCGGAAATTATAGGCGACGCCGCTAACCAACCACTTCCCGTCCCTTTTCGCAAAGCTCCACATATCCGTCCCAACGTGGTCGATCTGGCCATCGATGTGAAACTCGTACGGCGTCCACGCCATCGCGATATCGCGGTCCACAAAAATCGTCGGCTGGTCGGAGATGATCTCAGAGATCGACTTGGGGTGGTCGAACGGGATGCGCTCAACGACGCCCGCGAGCGTCGTGAACATCGGCGCGCCGTCCCGCATGAGCACCGCCCCGCCCGCGGGCAGGATCTGCGCGAGCATCAGCGCCTTGTCGCGCTTTTCGATCCCCAGCAGGAACGTCTCCGCCACCGCCAAGACGGCCAGCTGGTCCTCTGAGAAGCCAGGCGTGCTGTATCGCGCGCTCATCGGATTTGATTCGAAGTCGGATCAAGAAAATAGTGCCGCGTGGGTAAGATTGGCCTGAGCTGGGTATTAGGGTGGTGACTTGGGCAATGGAGAGCGGAGAGCGGAGTACTACTATCAGGGAGCGAAGTGACGAACTTTACCGCTTGGATTGGGTGGTATGGGTAAGAGCGGTGAAAGCTGTGCACAGGGAATATCAATCACCGTTGGGGCACTTCGGAGCAGTTGCTAAGGCTCCGAAATCATTTCAATCATTGATTCGATTGAGAGAAGAGAAAATTCTTACAAGGCCGGAGATACCGAAGGGCCGCATTTTCCTTGTTTCGAGAAGAAAAAGAACACAGCTGCAACGTGTTCGAAAAAACCGAGGATTATGCGAAGCTGTGCCCGCTACTGTATCAAGCTCGGATTCCCTCCCGGCTTCGATTGCCAGAGGATCGCCTCAAGCCGCTAAATGGCCACAATCTTCTCCACTTCATTATGCATCTCTGAGACTTGTTCATTGAACGGTGACAGAATGGACGTCATCTTGGTATTTATCAAGCCTCGGCAAGGACCCATCGCGAACCACCTAAATCACGTCAAATGGCAAAAATTAGCCTGTCTAAATGTCTAAATGATGGATTGTTATCACCCTAATCGGCACCGTGACTGCCCCGCTTGACACTGCTCTTGATGGTGTACGCTCGTGTACACCCTTGATACTGTACTATTACGACCAAATGTTCAGGTGATGGGTGACGGAGGGTCGTGGACTGAACGTTTGGGATGTGGGTGACGGTGACGTTGAAGTTTCGAGGCATAGATGGGCTGGAAGATGTCAGAATTTCTCGCCCGGCGGGTGCCGGGCATCCAGATATACTAATTAATGGTGATTGCCGAGAAATGAACATTCGAAAAAGGGAACACTAGGTGACTGGTGACCAGTGTGAACATTCGGTCTTAATAGTACAGTATTCGGACCGCATCCCACTAGTCGTCTGCTCCTCGCGTGATTCTCCCCAATGGCGCCCTCAAAGTCTCACCTGCTACCTCTCCTCCTCGTTTTAACGGTCTTTTCGACGGCACTGAATGTGGGGCTCCTGCGCCGCGTGCGGGAGGTGTCCCGCGGGCCGGCTGGCGTGGTGCGGCACAATGCCGGTTGGTGCAACTTGCTTGCGCACAAAGTAAATAATCTGACGGCCTGCAGAGTACCCCTTCATCCCGGGCGAGATCCCAAGCAACATCCGCACGGCGGCGCTGACGTTCGAGGCGCCGGACAGCCAGTACCCGCTGAACGACGACGACAAGTGGGGGTCCAT